TGATAGGTATAGGGTATGATAGGTATAGGGTATGACAGGTATAGGGTAGGATAGGTATAGGGTATGATAGGTATAGGGTATGATAGGTATAGGGTATGACAGGTATAGGGTATGACAGGTATAGGGTATGACAGGTATAGGGTATGACAGGTATAGGGTATGATAGGTATAGGGTATGATAGGTATAGGGTAGGATAGGTATAGGGTATGATAGGTATAGGGTATGATAGGTATAGGGTATGACAGGTATAGGGTATGACAGGTATAGGGTATGACAGGTATAGGGTATGATAGGTATAGGGTATGACAGGTATAGGGTATGACAGGTATAGGGTATGACAGGTATAGGGTATGACAGGTATAGGGTATGACAGGTATAGGGTATATAGGTATAGGGTATGATAGGTATAGGGTATGATAGGTATAGGGTATGATAGGTATAGGGTATGATAGGTATAGGGTATGACAGGTATAGGGTATGACAGGTATAGGGTATGACAGGTATAGGGTATGATAGGTATAGGGTATGACAGGTATAGGGTATGACAGGTATAGGGTATGATAGGTATAGGGTATGACAGGTATAGGGTATGACAGGTATAGGGTATGATAGGTATAGGGTATGATAGGTATAGGGTATGACAGGTATAGGGTATGACAGGTATAGGGTATGACAGGTATAGGGTATGACAGGTATAGGGTATGACAGGTATAGGGTATGACAGGTATAGGGTATGACAGGTATAGGGTATGATAGGTATAGGGTATGACAGGTATAGGGTATGATAGGTATAGGGTATGACAGGTATAGGGTATGACAGGTATAGGGTATGACAGGTATAGGGTATGATAGGTATAGGGTATGATAGGTATAGGGTAGGATAGGTATAGGGTATGATAGGTATAGGGTATGATAGGTATAGGGTATGACAGGTATAGGGTATGACAGGTATAGGGTATGACAGGTATAGGGTATGACAGGTATAGGGTATGACAGGTATAGGGTATGATAGGTATAGGGTATGACAGGTATAGGGTATGACAGGTATAGGGTATGACAGGGGTATGACAGGTATAGGGTATGACAGGTATAGGGTATATGATAGGTATAGGGTATGATAGGTATAGGGTATGATAGGTATAGGGTATGACAGGTATAGGGTATGATAGGTATAGGGTATGACAGGTATAGGGTATGACAGGTATAGGGTATGATAGGTATAGGGTATGACAGGTATAGGGTATGACAGGTATAGGGTATGACAGGTATAGGGGGTATACAGGTATAGGGTATGACAGGTATAGGGTATGACAGGTATAGGGTATGATAGGTATAGGGTATGATAGGTATAGGGTATGACAGGTATAGGGTATGATAGGTATAGGGTATGACAGGTATAGGGTATGACAGGTATAGGGTATGATAGGTATAGGGTATGATAGGTATAGGGTATGATAGGTATAGGGTATGATAGGTATAGGGTATGATAGGTATAGGGTATGATGATAGGTATAGGGTATGATAGGTATAGGGTAGGATAGGTATAGGGTATGATAGGTATAGGGTATGACAGGTATAGGGTATGATAGGTATAGGGTATGACAGGTATAGGGTATGATAGGTATAGGGTATGATAGGTATAGGGTATGACAGGTATAGGGTATGATAGGTATAGGGTATGACAGGTATAGGGTAGGATAGGTATAGGGTATGATAGGTATAGGGTATGACAGGTATAGGGTATGATAGGTATAGGGTATGACAGGTATAGGGGTATAGGGTATGATAGGTATAGGGTATGATAGGTATAGGGTATGACAGGTATAGGGTATGACAGGTATAGGGTATGACAGGTATAGGGTATGATAGGTATAGGGGTATAGGTATAGGGTATGACAGGTATAGGGTATAGGTATGATAGGTATAGGGTATAGGTATAGGGTATGATAGGTATAGGGTATGATAGGTATAGGGTATGACAGGTATAGGGTATGACAGGTATAGGGTATGACAGGTATAGGGTATGACAGGTATAGGGTATGACAGGTATAGGGTATGACAGGTATAGGGTATGATAGGTATAGGGTATGATAGGTATAGGGTATGATAGGTATAGGGTATGACAGGTATAGGGTATGACAGGTATAGGGTATGACAGGTATAGGGTATGACAGGTATAGGGTATGACAGGTATAGGGTATATGATAGGTATAGGGTATGACAGGTATAGGGTATGACAGGTATAGGGTATGACAGGTATAGGGTATGACAGGTATAGGGTATGATAGGTATAGGGTATGGTAGGTATAAGGTAATGTCAGGGTATAGTGACATTTGGCCCACATTTGTATACACTCGAGGTGAGGCTTGTAACGGTGTTGCCTCCGAGGAGCTATTGGGAACATGTAGCGTAGTTCCTCCCCATCGAGGCCACAGTCACGGACAAAGAAAATGGAACAATAGAAATGAGATTACGCTCAATAGCACAAGTCGGTTGGTGGTGGTCGTGGGGGGGGGGGAGGAGGAAGAAAAATCAGGATTCACTGTCATTTTTTTCAGCCACTCAAGGAAGTGTATCGACTATGAAGAACAGTCCGTGGACTGTAGCTTTTTTAAATGAATCGACTGTTTAACATATGCATCGACTGTTTAACATATGCATCGACTGTTTAACATATGCATCGACTGTTTAACATATGCATCGACTATAAAACAAATAAAAATAAATCGACTGTAAAACAAATACTCACAGACTAGAAGAAAACAGCACTGACTGGCAAATCATACATCGACTAAGAAAAATCAAATATTGACAGAAAAACAGACATCGACTATTAAAAAAAAAAACATACATCCACTGTGAAAAAAATGCCTAACTGAAAATAATTAATAAAAATACAATAACTCTAGAAAAAATCCATGATACAAAAATCCATAAACTGAAAAAGTGATCGAGGATATTTTAGCTGAAATTAAAGTGGCAAAAACACAAAGAAAATAATATATAGCGGCTCATGGCTAAAACTTAGATAACCTCGGGACGGTTCCTCGTTTTCACCTTGCGTTTACCTGTGTTGGTTTCGGGGATTACTATCCTTATGGCCCCGTCTCTGACCAGGTCTCCTGTTTGGTTAACTAGGCTGTTAGACGCCGCATCTACCACCTATAGAAAACTGAAGCCAATTTGATCGAAAAAAATTATTCTAACGAGAACACATCATTCGGCAGCTTATCCAAAAAAAAAGTGTAACATTAAATTTTGAAAAAAGATTTAAAAAAATGAAAGACGATGGTACTAAATCTAATTACAGGTGGGAGAGATATAATGGAGTAATTACATCAGGTATGCACTTGTGACAAAATTAAATTTTAAGTCACAGTAGGAATCGTGAACACACCAATTCCCACCTTGCAGTTGTTTACAGGATCGATGTCCTCGCGGCCCAGTCTCTGACCAGACCTCCTGGTTGGTAGTCTGGTCAATAACACCTGGACCATCACTAATAACCCCTGCACTATGACAGGTATTAATAACTAAGCAACAACAACATTTAAGTACCTAGATGAACAGCATCAAACTCACCAATGAAATACAAACTGAACCTACTATTTAGTTCCCCAGTATTCACGCCGGCTGGAGCCGGTGTTCCAGCCCATTAAGCTGGGTTTCAAGTTGAGTCGAGGGACAAAAAGCTGCCCCAAAAACGCGTCACAATAGTTTGTGAGACTCGAAGCTCTGCGCCCCACTTTTAGTTCAGTGATTCATTAGTTTGATCCTCCAAAACAGGTCACTTCAATTATATTTATGGGCTGTAAGAGTACTAATAAACTTTACCAGATTTACAGTATATTATATATGAGAAACCAGGCCCCGAGTCAACCTGGCCTCGGGCCGGGCTTGGGGAGTAGAAAAACGCTTGCAAGGGATTTCAGAACACGTTAAGCGCCGTAATATGGGGGACAAGGAACCTTTAGACCATTGGGGATCGAATGCCGACCCTTCAAGAAGCGAGGCAAAAAAATATTCTGAATTTGAAGGACGATATAGCACAACCCATTCTCACACAGGTTACACACACACACGAGTGAGTGGCGTTTTAGTTACCAATAAAACTACACGATTCATAATAAATACTTGACGTGCCGTATGTACTCACCTAATTGTGCTTACGGGGGTTGAGCTTTGGCTCTTTGGTCCCGCCTCTCAACCGTCAATCAACTGGTGTACAGATTCCTGAGCCTACTGGGCTCTATCATATCCACATTTAAAACTGTGTATGGAGTCAGCCTCCACCACATCACTGCCTAATGCATTCCACCTGTTAACTACTCTGACACTGAAAAAGTTCTTTCTAACGTCATTATGGCTCATTTGGGTACTCAGTTTCCACCTGTGTCCCCTTGTTCGCGTACCACCAGTGTTGAATAGTTTATCCTTGTCTACCCTGTCAATACCCCTGAGGATTTTGTAGGTAGTGATCTCCCCTTATTCTTCTGTCTTCGTATCGTAAGGTGCATCTCTCGCAGCCTTTCCTCGTAACTCATGCCTCTTAGCTCCGGGACTAGTCTAGTGGCACACTTCTGAACTTTTTCCAGCTTCGTCTTGTGCTTGACAAGGTACGGGCTCCATGCTGGGGCCGCATACTCCAGGATTGGTCTTACATATGTGGTATACAAGATTCTGAATGATTCCTTACACTGTGTGTGTGCATGTGTGTACTCACCTAATTGTACTCACATAATTGTGCTTGCGGGGGTTGAGCTTTGGGTCTTTGGTCCCGCCTCTCAACTGTCAATCAACTGTATGTGGTTGTGTGTGTGTGTGTGTGTGTGTGTGTGTGTGTGTGTGTGTGTGTGTGTGTGTGTGTGTGTGTGTGTGTGGGGGGGTGTGGCGTGATCTGCCACAGGCCCCTGGCGGGGGCAACAACAATGTCCTTCGAGCAGCATATATAAACGGGGGTCCAGGGACATGGCCGCCATACTCCGAGCAGCCGTCCACTCAAGCACACACACACCTCTGCAAGAATGCTCCTTCAGGTAAGATTTAATTATTGCAGTCCATTTTCCTTTATATAAAATTATGTTCACTTACTAGCAAAGTTATACCGAGCTGAACCAGCTACTTTCAGCAATCTCTTACCCAAAATTACAGTACTAATAACAGCTATTGGTTAAACGTATAAAAATGGACGGTTGTGACCAAACTTACTTCGGTACTATTTGTATTGTAGACAACAACCAAACCTAACCTTTCCTAGGCCTAGTAAGCAAATGTAAGTACCTAATTAGGCCTAAGATAGTGTATATTAGGCCTAGGGCATTTTAGGTTAGGTTGTATGGTTAATGTTCCAAATTTTAGCCTGCCATTTGCAGTATTCCAATAGTCCTAAATGTGAACTTTTGGCCGAATAGAACTGTTAATTTTGGAACATCCCATCAATACTTGTTGTAAATACTGCCATTTGTGGAGGATGGGTTAAATTTTTGTGACGGTAGGCCTAGGCAATTTGGAGGTAATCTTGTTAAATTCTAAACGAAATAAATGAAAACAAAAATTGATCTGGATAATATTCGTCATTTGTATTTGTTAACTGATCTAAAGTTTACTTGCGTTTACCTTAAAGTTCGGAGCATATTATATATTAAATATCTAAAAAAAAAGTCCAAACTTAGCAGCTAATATATATATATTTTTTAAAGCAATACTATGTTCCTTATGTCTCTTTACTAGTATACACCGGTGACCAGTATACACCGGTGGCCAGTATACACCGGTGACCAGTATACACCGGTGACCAGTATACACCGGTGGCCAGTATACACCGGTGACCAGTATACACCGGTGGCCAGTATACACCGGTGGCCAGTATACACCGGTGACCAGTATACACCGGTGGCCAGTATACACCGGTGACCAGTATACACCGGTGGCCAGTATACACCGGTGACCAGTATACACCGGTGACCAGTATACACCGGTGGCCAGTATACACCGGTGACCAGTATACACCGGTGACCAATATACACCGGTGACCAGTATCATGTATTCTTGTTCTATTGGTATTCCAGTCAACATTTCCTGTTCTTCCACTCAGTCAATTCCGCTATTATTTACGTCCCTATCATGCACTCTTCTCTCCTCTTTTCTGGCGTCGTCAAGTTAAGTTCCTTTTAGACTCTCTTTATGCTCCATCCCTTACAATTCTGTGACGAGTTTCCATTGAAAACTTCGGAACTTCTTTGAGTTTCCTCGTGTGTGCGTGTGCGTGTGTGTGTGTGTGTGTGTGTGTGTGTGTGTGTGTGTGTGTGTGTGTGTGTGTGTGTGTACTTACCTAATTTACCTAATTGTGCTTGCGGGGGTTGAGCTCTGGGTCTTTGGTCCCGCCTCTCAACCGTCAATCAGGTGAACAGGTTCCTGAGCCTACTGGGCTCTATTATATCTACACTTGAAGCTGTGTATGGAGTCAGCCTCCACCACATCACTGCCTAATGCATTCCATTTGTCTACTACTCTGACACTGAATTCTTTCTAACGTCTCTATGACTCATTTGGGCACTCAATTTCCACCTGGGTCCCCTAGTGTGTGTGCCCCTTGTGTTAAAAAGTCTGTCTTTATCTACCCTATCAATTCCTCTGAGAATCTTGTATGTGGTGATCATGTCCCCTCTCACTCTTCTGTCTCCCAACTTATAGTTGTGTGTGTGTGTGTGTGTGTGTGTGTGTGTGTGTGTGTGTGTGTGTGTGTGTGTGTGTGTGTGTGTGTGTGTGTGTGTACGTACGTACACACCACCTGTATGTAGGGGCCCCACAGAGCACACAACTGCCTACCCATATCCACAAAATATACACCTGTTTGTCCATACCCACAGAGCATACACCTGCCTGTACGAATCGACAGATGGGTTCGATTATAGCCGTCACAGCCACTATGTAAATAATGACAATGGACAAATAAATGTAACTATTACTAACAGACATTTCTGGTGGTAGATGCTGTTGGCTGTGGCTGTGGTAGGGGTGACCATGGCATACCCGGGAGGCTACGACCCAGTATACCCCTCGGTGAGTATAACGACTTATTAATAATTAAATTAATTTAATTAAGAGGTATGTACTTCACAGGTCTACCCCTACAGGGAGTATATTGTGCACCCCCATACTCATCCTGTGAGTGGTAGTTTATTGTGCACCCCATACTCATCCTGTGAGCGGTAGTGTAAAACGGATTACAGAGGGTACAAAAGGTAGTAATCAGACCTTAACGGGGATTTTGTTACTTTGACAATTACATCTAACCTCCACACCTTATAATTATAATGAGTTAACAATTTGTCATTACAATGTTTATTTATAATAAATTATTACACAGTGATTGTAGGTCTTTTGTTAATACATAAAATATTTTAGATATGAGGATATTACAGGATTATAGAAAAGTTGGTGTATATTATTATTAGTATACATTAGTTATTATTATTAGTATATTATTAGTATATTATTATATTATTAGTATAGTATATTAGTATTAGTCTTAACACTATATAGTGTACTATTTTGTCTTATGTCATTTATCTACTAGAAATAAAACATGGATACAGTGCAAGGATTTCAGATATTTTGTAGTAAGATGGTTTGTCATGTCATTTAGCGTGAGTTTTGATTTATCTCTAAATGGCTCAGTTCTTTTGTAGTGTAAGATGTAATGCTGTAATTCAGTGTTCCCAAACACTTTACAGTCATTACCCCTTTTGCACACAGCGTCCGACACTCAGTATAACAAAATATAACAAATTATATTTTTATATACTTTTGTTCATTCCTTGATTATGACATATTAATTATTATTAATGGAACCAAACAAGTAATACACATTCCTACAGTAGACAATAATAATAGACACTTCAATCTTCATATAACACCTCTTACAAAAAGAAGTTACAGCACTTAAAATTAATTTAGTCTGAATGAATAATGAAAATTATAAGATTTGGGACAAAGCAATCATGGTAGCGAGGTAAATGCACAAACCTGTACGGAACCTGTGAGCTCACTCCACCAGCTGCCCCTCTGGTGCCATAACCTGCACACTGCCTCAACGTATGGCCCCTTATATGTTATATAAAGGCCTCAAATGGCCCCCCTCCCCCCCTCAACCACTTGGGCTGAACGGTAGAGCGACGGTCTCGCTTTATGCAGGTAGGCATTCAATCCCCGACCGTCCAAGTGGTTGGACACTATTCCTTCTCCCCGTCCCATCCCAAATCCTTATCCTAATCCCCTCCCAGTGCTATATAGTCATGGCTTGGTGCTTTCTCCCTGATAGTTCCCTTCCCTTCAAACGGCCCCCAGTGTGTGTGTGTCTATCTTGGTCCTCACTGTTGTACACTTCACTTCATCCAGGCACCTGTACGAGCCTGGATACTTGACTACAAGTATCTCTGGCGTAGATACTTAGCTCACGGGAGGCATCTCCCGTCACGCAGGGTGCAGTCGCACCTCCACAGATCTCCAGTATCATCTATTGATACTGGTAATGGCTCAAAAGAGCCACCACTTACGGGCTATTCATGCCCGTGCCACCTTTTGGGTGGCTTAATCTTTATCAATCAAATCAATACTTAGCTACACGTATCTACGCCAGAGATAACTTGTAGCCAAGTCGTATTAAGAGCTGTGACAACGTCTCTTTACCTACTTATTTTGTTAATTGCGCTATACACACTTTTTGTTTGACACATTTCAACTACTTGGCACAACCCCAATTCCGTAACAACCACTCAACAACGCCCTTTCCCAAACAGTAACCCTTAATACGTAGGTATTAAGGGTTAGGGCCCTTCCCCCCCCCCCCCCCTACCACACACATCAACCACTCATCAACCACACATCAACCCCTGCCCCCTCCTCTAATATCAGTCACTTAACTACACTCCTCCATCTCGGACATCAACACGGGAGACATCTCCCGTCACGCAGGGTGCAGTCGCACTTCCACAGATCTCCAGTATCATCTATTGATACTGGCTCAAAAGGGCCACCACTTACGGGCTATTCATGCCCGTGCCACCTTTTGGGTGGCTTAATCTTCATCAATCATCGGACATCAGCCACTCATCAACTAACAACCACACCACCCCCCCTAACAACTCGGGCTCTCCCCAGGAACCTCTGCCCTACCAGTTCGACTACGCGGTCCACGACGACTACAAGGGCACCAACTTCGGCCAAAAGGAGAAGTCTGACGGTAAAAATGTGCACGGCTCCTACACCGTCGACCTCCCCGACGGTCGCAGACAGACGGTACGTGGGTGCTGTTGTGGTTGGCAGAGGGTATACTACTATACTCAGATCGTGTTTACTGATGTAGTTTACAGGATACATTCTCGTATCGTAATGTTGATCAGTCATAATGTCTGGGTATGTTGGTGTAGTTTACTGAAGGAATACTATCATTCTTATTCATTATGGTATACTTGACAGGAGAGATATCAGCGTATACTTCGCTGGAAATGCTTGTATAATATACTTTGATATATACTGGTATATGTTGTATATTTTAAACAGGGTGTCGCGACTGACAAGATCATTAATGCTATATACTTTGTATTGAATTGCTTATTTAAAAACAAAAATGTATACAGACTAGATGAACTATCCGGCAGTGCCCGGGTCGCTCATTCCCACTGTCTCTCCCTTCCATTCTCTGTGCACCTCGGCTTCCCTCCCACTCGCTCTCTCTCCCTCCTTCACAGCCTCTCAAGATGTTCGAGTGACATTCAATCAACGTTATAAGCGTTGAATCGGCGTTGATTCAACGTCGTACAATCTGTTTTAACACTATGGACAACAAAACTTACATTGTATAATTTCAAGGTTTAATCACAATAGGATTCTTATTAGGAACTATCCTTCTCAAAGCGGGGCATGAGGGGGGGGGTCGACCCCAACCAACCTATGACACTCGCAAAGTTTCGCGAGGCTAGCCCCGAGCGTTTGACCTCCAATCTGAGACACACGCATTCTGCCTTAAAAATTATTTCAACATCCCAATCACTTGGACTGGAAGGTAGAGCGACGGTCTCGCTTCATGCAGGTCGGCGTTCAATCCCCGACCGTCCAAGTAGTTGGGCGCCATTCCTTTCCCCTCGTCCCATCCCAAATCTTTATCCTGAACCCCCCCCCCCCCTTCTCAGTGCTATATTGCCGTAATGGCTTGACGCTTTCACCCTGATAATTCCTTGCCTGTCTGTAAGAATATATTACAGAATGCATAATATATCTTTAGACAAAATGTTCTAGCATATGTTTTGTAAGTTAGTATATTTATTTCATAAAATATGACTGATGTATACTTCACGGCATCTGTATATTTCATTAAGATGTATATTTTAAGATTTCTTACAGTATGTTATACTTTAAAACTTTAAAGGACATACCTTAAATGGTATACTGTCACTGTTTATACTGGTATGTCACAGAGTCTAAGGTATGTTTATAAATCTCCAGTTTAAGTTTGAGAGACTTACATGGGATACTTAGAAAGATTATTTATATATAGGAGTGCCAGCCACTTAAGACTGGTGGGAACAGTGACGGCTTTGACGCCTCTTACCAAGTCGGTGGTTCGATACCCGATGGTCCAAGTGGTTGGGCACAGTTTCTTCACTACTTTTCACTATTCCAGTTCCTCGCCATATCCCAGCTCCTTGTCCTCGTACCCCAGCTCCTTGTCCTCGTACCCCAGCTCCTTGTCCTCGTATCCCCAGCTCCTTGTCCTCGTACCCCAGCTCCTTGTCCTCGTATCCCCAGCTCCTTGTCCTCGTACCCCCAGCTCCTTGTCCTCGTACCCCAGCTCCTTGTCCTCGTACACCAGTTCCTTGTCCTCGTAGCCCAGTTCCTTGTCCTCGTACCCCAGCTCCTTGTCCTCGTATCCCTTCCATATGCTATATAATCAAACTGGCTTAGCGCTTTCTCCTCATAATTACACTACCTCTCGGTGTATTGATAATATTAATGTAAATATGGTCACATATCTGCACTGAGTATACTAATATACTTCTCTGAGTATACTAGTATACTTCACTGAGTATACTAGTATAATTCACTGAGTATACTAGTATAATTCACTGAGTATACTAGTATAATTCACTGAGTATACTAGTATAATTCACTGAGTGTACTAGTATACTTCACTGAGTACATTAGTGCACACTGCAGTTCAGATAGCTAACGTTAGACTAAATGATATACTACTGTTAAATACAGTGGTATATCCACTACTATAAGTGGATATACTACTCTTTAAGAGTTGTATATTACAAATGAAGAATAATGTAGATAATTTCTCAGGCTATATGAAAACTTAACGGACGTAGATACCGCCTTAACGAGTAACACGTTGGTTGATATGTTTCAGAAGTATACCTGGAGTATAACCCGCGTTGTTTACCATGACCTGCTTTAAAGTGTGTGTCCTCCCCTACAGGTGGACTACACAGCCGACCACTACAAGGGCTTTGTTGCTAAAGTTAGCTACGAAGGTCAGGCCAAACACCCAGCTCAGTATGGGCCTCCAATCACCTTCCAGCACGGAGGTGAAGGCTACCACTAAGCGCACACTGGGGGGCTACCGCTAGATACGGGGGCTACCAGAGAAGGGGTCCAGGACTATCTTCGAGGACTACAAACTAACATTTGAGAGTCTATACCGGTAAACATCCACACTACCAATCACGGAGCTAAATCACCCTCGAACATGCTACTACTTCAGCATTTAGTAATAATGTTAACATTCATGTTTACAATTGAATTTTTAGATGAAATAAAATTCCAGTCATAAAATTTATGCATGTCTGGACGTCTCATTTAAAAACCTGAGCAAGATCAAGATTTCAACAACGGCTATGTACACCACGAGGTGAAGTGTACCACGCTTGTCGGTGTACCACACTTGTCGGTGTACCACGCTTGTCGGTGTACCACGCTTGTCGGTGTACCACGCTTGTCGGTGTACCACGCTTGTCGGTGTACCACGCTTGTCGGTGTACCGCGCTTGTCGGTGTACCGCGCTTGTCGGTGTACCGCGCTTGTCGGTGTACCGCGCTTGTCGGTGTACCGCGCTTGTCGGTGTACCAACACAGAGTTTACTGCAGTCCTGGGCTGTGTTCAGGACTAAAGTGTACTTGCTGGTTGAACAGCAATTGTGTCCTTAAAAATCCCTCCAGAGGCTGATAGGCCTAAAATACGACATCAAACCAAGCGTTCCGAGCAATTTCGTTCACCTAAAAGTCGAAAAATGGAAAAATCAAAATTCCAGAAGCATACTAAGTACCAATTCTAGTTGGAAGGGAACGTATAGCCTCAGAGAAAAAATGGGTTATGCCTAATAGATGGATAATGGGTGATCAGAAGAGGCTGTAGTGCCTCTTCACTTCTGGTCCTCTCTTCTCTCATCTCTTTTGTTTTGTTCCGAATTTAATTTTTGTATCAAAATTTTAATTTACAATTTTACACCAGTGTTCAAATAATAAAAATTTAAACTATAGTAACCTGTAAATTTTCTTTAACCTTGATTTGATTAAAGTTAATGAGAAAACAAGAAAAGTTTAAGAAAGATAAATTACAGAACAAAAAATACTTTATGTAACTATGTTTAAAAACACTGTCGATGATGATACCTTCGGCGTAAGGCAGTGGGATCGAACCCGCGTCACCTAAATACATTTTTTTTATAATTGTTTATGTATCCCTTGTACTTGTTTGCATAAAGTGAGCCTGAATCGATCTGTGTGTTACTGGGGCAAGTCTCCATGACGAGCAGTACACCACAGAACCAATCCCAGCTCTCACACACTCCCCACCACTTGCACTACTGCCACTCTTACTACTCTTACTTGCTACTCTAACATTTGTTACTTTGGGTCCTCTTTCTCCTCCTCCTCCCCTCTTTACCCCCCCCCCACCGTTTTGATAAGCTCTCCTGATGACTACTGTTAATACTCTGTGCTAGAGGCGTTACCCGGCGGCACCCGGGTCTCTTCCCCCCTTTCTGGAGGCCGAGTCTTCAGGTATATACTCTGGATGCAAGAGACTCCACGTGAATACATTCTACAGGCAAGAGACTCCACGTGAATACATTCTACAGGCAAGAGACTCCACGTGAATACATTCTACAGGCAAGAGACTCCACGTGAATACATTCTACAGGCAAGAGACTCCACGTGAATACATTCTACAGGCAAGAGACTCCACGTGAATACATTCTACAGGCAAAAGTCTCCAGGAGACGCAATAAAGCTGGGAAGAAGAAAGCTTAATAAATCATGGGCACAGAAAGCTTGAGAGGTTGAGGGAGGCCAGTGAGTAGCCATATATCGCAACTCACCAATATGTTTGTTGGCTTGCGGCTACACCTGCCCCCAGTCTCAATACTTCTTACTTTACACTCCATGTTAGTTCGTGTTTTGCCGGCCTTTTACCCTCCCTGTAAGTTCCTGTTATGAAGGGAATTTACACAACCTGTTAACTCCTGGTTTGAGGGGGAAAAAAATGCTTTCGAAGCCAGGATTTTGTTTCGTTTCAGGCCTAACATCGTCTGGAGATTTCTTAAGGCCTTGACACTGGCCTACTGTGTTATGTGTCTTTCATACTTATGTTCTGACCTCTAGTTCGTCCGGAGTGTTAATCCATCCCTTGTTGTTTGGCTGTGTTAGGTCACGTTGGATCAAATTTATATGTTAGTTCTGACTCAAATAACAAAATTGTAATCACATATAATGAAAACTGTCATTTCATAAGAATTTTTTTAATTAAATATTTCACGAATATTCGGTTTGTTAGGCATCTATGACTATTAGGTACGAGATGTGTGTGTGTATATCTATATATATATATATATATATATATATATATATATATATATATATATATATATATATATATATATATATATATATATATATATGTATATATATATATATTATATATATATATATATATATATATATATATATATGTCGTACCTAGTAGCCAGAACGCACTTCTCAGCCTACTGTGCAAGGCCCGATTTGCCTAATAAGCCAAGTTTTCATGAATTAATTGTTTTTCGACGACCTAACCTACCTAACCTAACCTAACCTAACTTTTTTGGCTACCTAACCTAACCTAACCTATAAAGATAGGTTAGGTTAGGTTAGGTAGGGTTGGTTAGGTTCGGTCATATATCTACGTTAATTTTAACTCCAATAAAAAAATATTGACCTCATACATAATGAAATCGGTAGCTTTATCATCTCATAAGAAAAAAAAATAGAAAATATAATAATTCAGGAAAACTTGGCTTATTAGGCAAATCGGGCCTTGCATAGTAGGCCGAGAAGTGCGTTCTGGCTACTAGGTACGACATATATATATATATATATATATATATATATATATATATATATATATATATATATATAGTTGAAAAAACACTAAACCACCATGACTGCTGCCGCGTCATGATGAGATCCAGGAAGATCTTGACATTCTCCAACTCCATAATTGTTCTTCCTGTGATAAAAGTCGGAAAAATAAATGGCACTTGCCCACAACTCGAGAAAATAATCCCCCGCAATAGTTTCATAGACGTAAATTTCGCCGAAACCATATATGGACTTGTATATTGTGATCCTGGCGTGGAAAGTTATAAGAATGTCATACTTCGCCGTCACTTTACTTTATAACACAATAACAACCCCTTAATAATATCACTTCGCAAGCCACACGTCAATGGAGAGATTATTAGTAAATTTAAAAAAAATCTGCAAATTGGATTTTCTGGTGTAATTGTTTATGTTCCACGTACCTTGGCCTCATTGTGCAATGTTGACGAGGAAGCTTACTATCCACGTCTCACACCATACAGATACTGTATAGGGTCGCATGCATATTATTTTATATATATATATATATATATATATATATATATATATATATATATATATATATATATATATATATATATATATATATAACTGAAAACTCCACACCCCAGAAGTGACTAACCCATAATGCCAGGAGCACTATGCAACTGGTGTACAGGAGATCTAACCACTCGACCATCAGTGACGGTGTCGGAAAATCCGACACCATTTAATAATCATACAGATAATAGCTGTGTTGTATAAACAAGTTACCCATAGAAAACGTAACTTGTAGTGGAATTACCGTCTAAAGAAAACGGGATATCATCACCACATACTATTATAATTCACCAGCTATTCTGCTGGGAATTATTCTTAAATACATTAGTCTTTGGACTTTACCATCATAAAACATCTTATATAAATTAACTTAATTATCAATATTAAAGTAGAGTAAATGTGACCCTTCTATCACTTTCTGAAATCTGGACAAAGTAGGCCAGGCGTCAGTGGGGAAGGAGGGCAGCCATTGTTGTGTCACCTCCGAGACGTGTGGAGCAAATTCGGCTCCTATCATTCTGGACAATGTCGGCCAGTAACGTCAATAGTATGGAGTGTTAAACAGCCATTGTTATTGAGACCAGAGGCTCACACGGGAGCAAATTCGGCTCCTGTTAATTTTACTTGGACGTAGTGTTATGGAAACCAAAGGTACCATCTCCAACACGATGTCTACAATTCAAGTTAAGTCTATCCGAAACCCGTTTATCATTCATTTATGGCCATTAATGTCAGGATATAGGGTGACCCGGTTAGATCACGTGGAAGCCTCAAACTATAGGTAATTAAGCCAGGTCTTCAATGTTCCATGTACTGTATAGTGTTTTCTCTGATATAGCTTGTCATATATAGGATTCTGGCTTCACAGCTAGCGCACTTTTGACAGGTCAAGACGAGGAAGGAAGATTTTGTGCACCAGTTACTGGGTGATATGGAAGCTACCTCAAAGAGGATAATTTGGTGTCTACACCCTAGTTATACCTGGTGGACTAACCTGCTGTACTATAAGATAAGGAACCTTTTCAATGTATGTAGTTAATACAGTAGTTTGATTGGCTGCATATATATAAATATAAACCCCCCCTAATGTGTAGAGGATCGATTTGTGAGATTATGAGATTATTGCAGAAATACAGTCCACTTATCATTATACAAATTGCTATCGAAGTATATAAATTAACGTAAATATAAATTCATATAAATTAAATAAATATAAATCTCACAGGTCGGTTCCCACAGACGGTACAAAAGATGATGGTAGCCGAGGCTATTTTCCCCACCGTCCCGACGGCACTTAGTGGTAATCTTGGGCCCAAATCAGCCCCACATACACTCCCCCTTGGAAAGATGTGCAGGTCTCTATACTCTATATACACCCATCAGTGTGAAACAAAGATATAACACTAAAAGCTATTGACAGTCCTCTTCAAAATCTCAAACCAACTCAATCCTATGCCTTTACTGATGGTTCTGTGCAGTTAGGCACTGGTAGAACAGGTTGTGCATGTGCAGTATATAAAGGGAATGAAATGATCATGTCTAGTACACACAGATTGAACGACTGGGCAAGCACGACACAGACTGAGCTATTGGGTGTTTATCTAGCCACTGAGTACCTTGAGCTCAATGGTGGTAGTGTGATATTTTGTGACTCTAAACGAGCTCTGCAGTCTTTAAATAACCACGCAGAGAAGAGCGCTTTTCGTCACTTGACATCCTCGAATTTGCTTAGTACTATATTGACTCACTCTCACCCTTCACACGACTTGATAAGGCTCCGGGACGGTCCAGTCACTTGATAAGGCTCCGGGACGGTCCAGTCACTTGATAAGGCTCCGGGACGGTCCAGTCACTTGATAAGGCTCCGGGACGGTCCAGTCACTTGATAAGGCTCCGGGACGGTCCAGTCACTTGATAAGGCTCCGGGACGGTCCAGTCACTTGATAAGGCTCCGGGACGGTCCAGTCACTTGATAAGGCTCCGGGATGGTCCAGTCACTTGACAAGGCTCCGGGACGGTCCAGTCACTTGATAAGGCTCCGGGATGGTCCAGTCACTTGACAAGGCTCCGGGACGGTCCAGTCACTTGATAAGGCTCCGGGACGGTCCAGTCACTTGATAAGGCTCCGGGATGGTCCAGTCACTTGACAAGGCTCCGGGACGGTCCAGTCACTTGATAAGGCTCCG